AGGGGCAGGTGGGGTGGGGGGGGGGGCTGTGAGGATGTGTATGATGTCGGGGGGGGGGGGGGGCTGTGAGGATGGGTAGGCGCAGGGGGGGGGGGGGGGGAGGTACTGTGAGGATACGTGGGGGGGGGGGGGCTGGGATGGTGTGAGGGTTGTAGTCGTGGGGGCTGAGATGGTGTGATGGTTGTAGGGATGGGGGCTGTGATGGCGTAAGGGGGTTGGGCTGTGATGGCGTAAGGGGGTTGGGGTGTGATGGTGCAGGGGTGTGGGGGGACCTGTGGGGGGTGTTTAGGTTATGGGGCCTTGTCACGTTGCACGCCGTGCGGAGCCTCTATTAACCGGGTATACTTGCTACTCAGATGAAAGTACCTGAACCTGTTACCTAATCAAACCACTACCCATTGCAGACCTACACACACTGGTGGTGATCAGAGGTGTATGCTGTAAGGCTGTGAGGGTGGGTGATAACAGCAGTTTCTACACCGGAAACTTCCATTTTTCTCTTATCCGAGAAATCATTTGAAACCAGAACCTGCATCTACACTGCATCTCTGTAGGTGTCTTTGTCAGCGGTGTGTGTGTGCATGTGTGTTTGTGTGTGGGGGTGTGCGTGCGTGCGTGCGTGGGTGCGTGCGTGTGAGGGGGGGGGGGGGGCTGCACGTGTGTGTGTGTGTGGGGGGGGGGGGTGCACGTGTGTGTGTGTGTGGGGGGGGGGTGCACGTGTGTGTGTGTGGGGGGGGGGGGGGGGGTGCAAGTGTGTTTGTGTGAGGGGGGGGGGTGCACGTGTGTGGGTGGGGGAGAGAGGGTGGCACGTGTGCGTGTGTGTGTGGGGGAGTGCACGTGTGTATGTGGGGGGGGGGGGGGGGGAGGTGCACGTGTGTGTGGGGGGGGGGGGGGGGGGGAGGGGGTGCAAGTGTGTGTGAGGGGGGGGGGGTGCACGTGTGTGGGGGGGGGGGGAGGGGGTGGCACGTGTGTGTGTGGCGAGGGGGGTGGCACGTGAGTATGTAGGGGGGGGGGGGGGGGGGTGCACGTGTATGTGTGGGGGGGACGTGTGTGTGTGTGTGGGGGGGGGGGGGGGGGGGTGCACACGTGTGTGTTAGGGGTGTGCACGTGTGTGTGTGTGGGGGGGGGGGATGTGCACGTGTGTGTGTGGGGGGGGGGATGTGCACGTGTGTGTGTGTGGGGGGGGGGGGGATGTGCACGTGTGCGTGCGTGCGTGGGTGCGTGCGTGTGAGGGGGGGGGGGGGGCTGCACGTGTGTGTGTGTGTGGGGGGGGGGGGGGGGTGCACGTGTGTGTGTGTGGGGGGGGGGGTGCACGTGTGTGTGTGTGGGGGGGGGGGTGCAAGTGTGTTTGTGTGAGGGGGGGGGGTGCACGTGTGTGGGTGGGGGAGAGAGGGTGGCACGTGTGTGTGTGGGGGAGTGCACGTGTGTATGTGGGGGGGGGGGGGGGGAGGTGCACGTGTGTGTGTGGGGGGGGGGGGGGAGGGGGTGCAAGTGTGTGTGAGGGGGGGGGGTGCACGTGTGTGGGGGGGGGGGGAGGGGGTGGCACGTGTGTGTGTGGCGAGGGGGGTGGCACGTGAGTATGTAGGGGGGGGGGGGGGGGTGCACGTGTATGTGTGGGGGGGGACGTGTGTGTGTGTGGGGGGGGGGGGGGGGGTGCACACGTGTGTGTTAGGGGTGTGCACGTGTGTGTGTGTGGGGGGGGGATGTGCACGTGTGTGTGTGGGGGGGGGGGGATGTGCACGTGTGTGTGTGGGGGGGGGGGATGTGCACGTGTGTGTGTGTGTGTGTGTGTGTGTGTTTGTGTCTATCCTGTAAACTACATGTAACTGAATTGACTATTTTCTTGTGTTTTTGTCCAGGTAATCTATGGCCAGGCAAAGAAGAAAAAGCTAAACACACGTTCAAACTGACACTGGTAAGTGCGAAAATGACAAGTCATACTGCTTGTCCTTGACGGAAAAAATAACCAGAAATTCTGAAGCCATCTTATGCCTCCCACTCCCCCCCCCCCCCCCCCCCCGAATTGTAATCCTGCCTGTTGTCATCGTTACCGTAATGGTGGATTTCTCAGTCTTGTGATCAATATTGTTTTAGCATAATAGGCTGATATTTGTTGTACATCTCACCCCTTGGAGTACTGAATTAAACTGATTGAATGAGTGTGCGTTCTCTTCTCTTGTGATTTTGCTTTGTAAAACAGTTGCCATGCCGACTCGGAAAGTTGAAACGTAGCCAGATGAGGACCCTAATTTACACAGACACGTCGCCTGGTTTTACATGTACAGTATGAACAAGTCGCCATTTTGTACCGTGTGTAGTCAATTCTACCGTGTGTAGTCAATTCTACCGTGTGTAGTCAATTCTACCGTGTGTAGTCAATTCTACCGTGTGTTGTCAATTCTACCGTGTGTAGTCAATTCTACCGTGTGTAGTCAATTCTACCGTGTGTAGTCAATTCTACCGTGTGTAGTCAATTCTACCGTGTGCAGTCAATTCTACCGTGTGTAGTCAATTCTACCGTGTGTAGTCAATTCTACCGTGTGTTGTCAATTCTACCGTGTGTCGTCAATTCTACCGTGTGTAGTCAATTCCACCGTGTGTAGTCAATTCTACCGTGTGTTGTCAATTCTACCGCGTGTTGTCAATTCTACCGTGTGTTGTCAATTCTACCGTGTGTTGTCAATTCTACCGTGTGTTGTCAATTCTACCGTGTGTAGTCAATTCTACCGTATGTGTATAATAATTACACTGTACATTCTTGGTATATTGCTGGACGTAGGCAGTAAACTACCAGCTGATTGATTTTTTCTTACATTACACATTGTCTGCTGAATACATTACATACATCTTATTTGGCATACTCTTTACAACTAAATTTCATGAATAATTCTGATTGTTGCTCTCGCCTGGTGTATAAACTGCATACAAGTGGCTAATTGGTGTTCTATGCCTGTTTACAATGTGATTTAAGTTCATTTACTTCATTTTCTTCTTCAAGACATTCTCCGCTTGCTCTGGTTTCCTTTCCATGTACCTGTAGGTCTGGGCGTGACTAATATTGGAATGATTTGACTATAGGTTGACTAGCCGTTGTGTACTTCTAATTACCCCTTCCTATGTTACATTATTGACTTTGTCACTGGCTCTGCTTTTTGTATTTTATTATCTGCACATACATGTACATGTATTGGAGCCTGTGATAAGATGGACCCCGTGGGAGACAGCAAGGTTTGGTTTTCTAAAACTTGCTTCAAACTAGGCCAATGTTTCGGTCTGTATCCCACACCGACTCCGATATGAAATCGGCTCACTGTGTCGGATGAATCCAGCTACCTGATCACACATACATACACACACACACACACACACACACACACACACACACACAAACACACACATACACACATACACACATACACACAAACACATGCACACACACACACACAAAATTTGACCGTTTGACGCCCATCGCCGGAGGCGATGATAGCGATGCTACAGCAGAAGCCATAGCAACTTGTGCTGGGATTGCACTATTCTACAGCTTGCAAGGCTGAAGAATAGATGACTTGCACAAAGATCCGAGCCGCGAGTGAGACGGGGCAAGTGCACCCTGTGCACCCAGGCTACACTGCGGGCACCCTACACCGTCTGTAGTGTACTTTTTTTGTCAGCATGAATGAACGATGCACGGCATGTACTGTAAATGATCAGTGCGGTCACTGTCTTCACTTCAGCAGCTCATGAGCCATGTATGTGCACTTGTACTTGCAGGGTTAGTGGAAGTACATGAGTATACATGTATATTATGTGAAGAGAAGCGTCCAAACCAACCCAAAATACTCTTGCCTTATTCTTCGGTGAAATAGTTATAAAAAATTTGTCTTACCAAGCAACAACTCTCTCTCTCTCTCTCTCTCTCTCTCTCTCTCTCTCTCTCTCTCTCTCTCTCTCTCTCTCTCTATCTATCTATCTATCTATCTATCTTTCTCTCTCTGCTATTGGCGCGCCTGGTTGTGATGAAGCCGAGACCCAAGGTCGGCAGAGCATCCCAGACCACGCCACCACTCCCCTTATTCATGACTCACACATGACGGGTTTACGTGGCTCTAGGAAAAAAAAAATTAAAAAAACAGTGAGCATAGAAGCAACCTCGATGCACCCAATAATATGGCATCCGGGAACAGCAAGCGTTGCACGAGGATCCCAAGAACACGTCAAGTTCCATGCTACCCGCCGCCATCGAAAGAACGAAGGATAACTGTGCTAGCCTTGTTCATATTCAATGTAACGCTAACGGTACGGGATATAGGAGCCTGTTGGGAAGGCGTGGGTGAGCTGTAAAATCTTGTACGGTTCGCACAGCACAACATACATGCAGCAGTTATTGCGACGGTTAACGTCGATTGACGAGAGTCATAAAGCACAGTCCATGGGGGTTGACGTTTCTGGGCTTCCTTTCCGAAAGGAAAGTTTTATTTCTTCTCAAATGAAGCAGAATCATGCTGATTATACCAGTCTGTTATGAAGACAAGAAAGCTGGCATGGACATTGTGCCATTCTAAAGGAATGACAGGTAAAAGATAAAGCACTTCATCTGAAAACTCAAGGACTATCCATAAATACAGCAAATGATAATCCTAGCCTGGTAATGTCCAATTCTGTCATGTGAGCCATTCGGTGAGTTATCATGGGAAGCATAATGTTCGAAATGCTGAAATTTGAACAGTTGCAGTTGTGTTCGTCGCCACACAATGCCATCGCCAGTTCACATTCGAAATGTAGCCATTTTTACACTTGTGTCCCTGCACACGGCATGGAAGGTTGAACAGATTCAACTCTTCCATCGCTTCCTGATCTGTAGAGTAGTGCGGTTGCGTTCCTGTTCCTGACACTCAAATCCGTCTCCGCTAACCAGCATCATGAGCACTCCAATGGTTCCCGTCGCTCCTTCCGTATCGTCCCAGCGCGCCCCGTCAAAATGTGAACTACTGTAGGCAACGGAGCCAGTGTATGATGAAGGTGAATGCACTGTTTGATGATGCTCCAACAAATCCTTTCACCGTTGTATGGAATTTGTAAGAAGAGTAGTGGCTCAACTATAGATCCAACGCAGAAGGTACCTCACAGCGCAGTTCTGTTTCGTCCACAATAATGAACACACTCAGCAGACTGTGATGTGTATCAGACACACTCTGGCATTATTTGTTCCACCTTCTCCCAGGAGGAGATAAAATGTAGTTCAATCATGTCTAAAGTACATGGAGTATCGTTGCCTCGTTGCAACTAAACAGATATGCAAGTTACTTTTCCATGAGACCCAGCCGGAGCGGCATCGTCGTTGTTACCAGCTAATCATGGAGAGGTATAATGTTACTTTCCATCACTCCCTGATTCAATCATAGTCAGTTTGCGAGCCTGCGCCAAACTGCTTTCTCGCTAGAGCCAGGCATTGGATACATATGGCTTCAGTAAGGTTTACAATGCTATGCCTCTGGCTTAAGTCCAAGTCTAGATACAGCTGCTCAGAGTCAGGGCTGATGAAAATGTTCATATCGGAACAAGTGAGACTTCAACAGTAGCTAGTACACATCAGGCCTGAGGACTTCGCAGCGTTTCTCCAGCACACTTGTTCTCTCCTTCAACTCAGATACTACTTGAAGTACTACTAAAGGCCATCTGGCTCTCACACTCAGTCCTTTCACCCTTCATTTTCGTGATTTGGGCTTCCACTCGTGACTCGGCAGGTTCCTGGCCTCTCCGCAGTCTGTCCTCAGGAGAGGGTCGCTATGGAGCTAGTGCAGCCGAAACAAAGGGAATCGAGTTCTTTCTCAGACGTCCACAAACTTTCGTTGTGCTTGACTTCGCTTCCACTGCGGGAAAGTAGTCACACTTGAGGACCTCGACGTGCTTGTTGCAGCCTACACCAATGATACTAAACTTATTCCCTCATTTTTCTGCCTCCCGGCCGGCCGGTTCGGCAAGGAACGTATGGAATGGGAGCCTCAGTTCCATCTCTCGTCTGCTAGTGCATTCAGGAGCGCAGCAGCGCTTCGGCATGACGTTACAAGCCGAATCAAAACAACTCTACTCTGTAGCCAAAAAACTAGCTCAGCACAGCAGTGTACGTCAGGCAAAAAGCGAAAGTCACGAACTCAAAAGGTGGGGAAGTCAGAGTCAGAAGGTCCACTTGCCCCGTCTCGAATCCAGACAATCTTTGTGCAAGTCATCTATTGACCACCACTATTCAGCCTGGTCTACACCACACAGCTATGAAGTGGGTTTTTCTGGCCAGTGAATCCCTACTTTTTGGTCTTTTTCATTTTTTTCCCGCACACATATCACACCACATACTCCGGCATGCACTGGCTGTTGGTAACCACCAGGGAGTCGTACTCAAACTAGGGAGGTGACCAGGGAGTCGTCAAATACCGGGAGTGGAAACGCCGTTAATCTTGATTATCCATGCTCGCCTCGCGCAAAATTTTTGCAGTGCCTTGAGTACCTCAGCGTCGTCAAATGCAATTTAGAGTAGCCTTGAGTATTTTTTGGGAGAAAGCGTCCATCAGAACGTGTATACAGAGATATTTGCAGTGGTCTGCTCGTTTGATAGTAGGAGGACACCTAATTTATCGGTAGGCGTTATCGCAGTGTTGCGATGTTTGACTGGAGGCCCGATTCACGCGCGAATAGTGACGTGACTTTTGATGTAATTTATCGAGGAAAATAGCTCAGCCTCAGTAATCAAAGCCACTTGGTTCGACCCACGAAAAAACTTCTCGTAACCATTGTCCTTTCCATATAGGTGCTACCTGTGAATTTTCTCGGTGTAAGATGATATGCCACTGACTTTTTGAGGGACCCTTCGTTTCTAAAACATTATCGTTTTTTAATGACGACCACATTATTATAAAGTCAAGGAATTTCTCTTATTTTCTTCTTCAGTGTAAGAGAACATCACCGCTTTCAGTATGTCTCATGTCAAGAGGAAGCATGACAACGTATATGCACCACCAACACTGAGAATCCAATTGCAGATTTGGCCGGTTGTGGCGAGTATCACGGAATTGACAATGCACACCGAATTAAACTGTTCTAAATCCCTCTCTCTTTCTGTCTCGCTTCTCTTTGCCTACTTTGGGTGTCAGCAGTTACGCATGTGTACATGCACGCACCAATATACGGGTGCGCACGCACTCATTGGCATGCACAAACTGCACATGCACACACACGGCATGCACGAACTGCGCATGCACGCACATTCACACACACTGGAATGCATGCATGCATGCACACACACACCGGGTCCTGGTAAACACTGCCATTACGGTCACCTGTCCCCTTGCGGGGCCAACAACATGGAAGCGACGGCAGAAAGTCGGCAGTCTGCCAAGAGATCAGGGACCATATTCAATCGGCACGACGAGAGAGCCATCTTTGGCAGCACACACACACATACACACACACACACACACACACACACACACACACACACACACACACACACACACACACACACATACTGACATGCCCACACTGTGCATGCACACACACGGTGGATGCGCTCATGTGTCTCAGATTCAATTATCTTTTCAAAGTTTGGTAGATTCGGAGACATGTTGGCCAGAATTTCATGGCCGAAAGTCGCCAACACCGGCTTGAGGCTAGTTAACTCAGGCTTTCTGCTAGCTCCCAGTTCTCTTCTCACCGCAACAACACACCAACCACCATGGTATCTTTTAGGTGTCTCTGCAGTGCAGTTGACTATGGCGGTGGGCTGGGGTGCTGCTGCTGTTGCTGCTGCGGATGATGCTGGCATGATGGACGGCTTTCTTGCCACTAATGTACCGCAAATTAAACTTGAAAACACAGCTGATGTGGTGTCCAGGTCTGGACAAAACGCACACGGAAAACAGCGCAGTATTTCTATATTAAAATTGTCACAAGTATCCATCCAGGTAGAGAATGCCATGTGTATCCTGATTCCTGACCATCACATAGTTTCTTAAATCTACCATTGCATTTCTTTTTACGAGTTTCACATAAAGTGGATGGCCCTTGCAACAGAAGCTTCCCTGGGTCTATACTTGACTGCAGGTTGATAAATCGAATGCTCTGTACATGCAGCATGCGTGTGTAACAAACCAAAACAAAGCTATTCCGTGATAGAAGTATTCACTCGATAAAGCTTGGTTTTACTCACCTCTCGCCCAAGTTCCTAAAACATCAGCCGTAAAATGGCTACCGATATCTCCCTATCCAGCATGACCATGCACTGCCGACGAATCTACGACGAAGAGTGATAATACTACAAAAGGGAAGCGGAAATCTGACGAGAAGGTTTATTTATGGAGACGTCTAAATTGCTCCGCTTGCAGGAAGAACCAAAATAAATTTTGTTATTTTGAAAATCCCGCGGAATTGGTGAATGTGGCACAAAAAAGATTATTTGAAAAAAATCGGCGTGCTCCAGCGCGAGGCGAGCATGGATCACGCTCGCGCATCTCGTTTCCACTCCCGGTATTTGACGACTCCCTGGAGGTGACACGGCACAGAAATCCGTGTCACAGGGGTTGACTCGCACCCGTGACCCCTCGTTGTTATTTTTGGAATAGTTCAGTCCAGTCCAGTCCGAAAGGTCATACTCGGATCGACTCGCCTTCTGTACTTCACCTCCAAGCGTGCAACGCAAGACCCGCAAAGTATGATTTTTCTGTGGGGAACGATTTTGCCATTGATCAAGTTTTTATAGGAGTGCTCAAGCATACTACGATTGCTGAGACGTCCCGAGCACGCTTGTTCAGGTTCTCTATTTTTGACGAGCCGGTCCTACAGCCCCCTACATTGTATCTAACGACGTAGGAGCTGACAATGTAAGAGGATTTCCCTGGAAATAATGATGATGGTGGTGTGACTGCTGCAGGAAAAATGCTGGCTGATTATGACAGTATGACTAGATGTACAATGTAGCTCTCTTGTATGGTACTTAACCCCTGCTATAAATGTGTTGTTTAGGAAGACTGGTGTATTGTGCAAGTCATGAAGAAGAAATGGGGCAGATACACGACTTACAATTTTCAAAACCCAGCTTCGTGTTATGTCTAATTTGTGTCAAAATTGTAATATTTAGACATGACAATATCATTGGCTGTACTTCTCTAATATGGTACATAACCCTGCTATAAATGTGTTATTTAGGCAGACTGGACCATTGTGCAAGTCATAAAGAAGAAATGGGGCAGATATACGACTTACATTTTTCAAAACCTGGCTTCGTGTTATGTGTAATTTGTGTCAAAATTGTAGTATTTCAACATGACAATATCACTGGCTGTACTTCTCTTATATGGTACTTAACCCCTCCTAGAAATGTGTTGTTTAGGAAGACTGGTGTATTGTGCAAGTCATAAAGAAGAAATGGGGCAGATACACGACTTACAATTTTCAAAAACCAGCTTCGTGTTATGTGCAATTTGGGTCAATTTTTAGTATTCGGATTAACCTAGGATACGACTCTGAACAGTTCTGAACAGTTACCGTAACACTACACGCTGTCTCATAACTGCTGCTGTTGCCATCACTGCTATCAAGTAGTTCGGACATGGCAGGAGGTAAACAAATTGCTGGTAGTCTTTCAAAGAATACTGGCGAGTGATGGGCTGTAAACGAAATGTGCTGCCTCGATAATTTCAAAAACTAGACACCCATGCTGCACGCTTGGAGGTGAAGTACAGAAGGCGAGTCGATCCGAGTATGACCTTTCGGACTGGACTGGACTGAACTATTCCAAAAATAACAACGAGGGGTCACGGGTGCGAGTCAACCCCTGTGACACGGATTTCTGTGCCGTGTCACCTCCCTAGTTTGAGTACGACTCCCTGGTAACCACCCAGAAGAATGAAAGAATAGTCAGGAGGAGTCTGAAAAAGAGAAGAAAGACGTGTGCGACCATAATCGTCTGGAATCGAAGACGCATGTGCAGCTATTTCCAATCGACACACACACACACACACACACACACACACACATACACACACACATACACACACACACATACATACACACATACACACATACACACACACACACACACATACACACAAACACACACACACACACACACACACACACACATACATACACACACACACACACACATACACAGACACACACATACATACACTACTACTACTACTATAGCATGACTGCCCATTGGGCAATGTCACCCCCGGAGGGGGCCAGAGTTTGGAGTGCACCGTCATTGGCAGGACTTCTGGTGCCTCGTCAAATCTTGCTGTCGTCGGAAACGTTTCGGGCAATGCATGCAGATCAGCGGCAGTGATTCCCTATCGGCTGCAGCAAGACGTTTTCCACGGTTGCAGTTATGGCGGTTAAAACCAGCCCGGGACTTGAAGCAGCGATTGCAGCGTTGACAATGCTGGAAGCAGCAACTAGCGAGAGACGCCGTCAATGCCGTATCTGCATGTTCAGGGAGTGCAGGCTGGCAGCGATGAACTGCAAGCCCACCCTTACTACGGAACCATCGGCAGCAACTGACGCACTGTGCTGAACCACGCTGTTGGTGGACGGGAAGTTGGCGCTCAGCCAAACACTTGTGCCGTGCCTTGTCTTGAGGACGAGAGAAAGCCCGGTTGCAAGATGAGCAGAGTACGGATTTCTCTACTGCCCGAGGAGGCTGAAAAACCAGAACCTGCTCTCGCCAAGCTGACCGGTCTTGTGCGCAATCATACATACATACACACACACACACACACATACACACACACACACACACACACACACACACACACATACACACACACATACACACAAACACTCACACACATACACACATATACAATTTTCCCCTCCGAGCGATTGTGTTGTAAACAATTACATGTCTGTCAAGCAGGTACACGTGACACACAGCTGTATTGGACTGTAGCAGACACTAGAGGGGAAATGAGATCTTTCCTCCACAAGCTACTCCACCATAACTGACCAGTTAGGCTAGTGCCAGCGTCTATTATTGTGGCAATCCAGTGCATTCAAGCCTGTTCACGATCTGCACTGATGCTCTCCGATGGCATGGTTAAAAGTCGTCAGTGATTGGTTGGTAGGCCGATCCTATGCGTGCAAAATCTAAAACTGCACCCACCATTCTGCAAAAAGGAAACACCATGTGCTTGTGTACATTGTAATATTGTACAGACAAGAGAATAAGTCAAACTTTCAAATACTTCTGGCAAGAAAGTAGCCTTACGAAAGGTTGGCACACACATACACACACACACAAACACACACACAAACACACACACATACACACACACACCACACCACATCCACACACACACCACACCACACCCACACACACACACATACACACACCACGCACACACCACACCACACACACACACACACACACACACACACACACACACACACACACACACACACACACACACCACACCACACACACACCACACACACACCACACCACACACACACACACACACACACACACACACACACACACACACCTGCACACACCTGGTCCTGGTAAACACTGCCATTACGGTCAGCTCAGCATGCCAATCATCTGCATCACCTAGTGTCTTGCGAATCAGGTTTAACAATGTCCTGTTAAACCGTTCAGCAGCTCCCTGTGACTGTGGCTGCCTTACTGCACCTCTCTTAACTGTGACTCCAAATGCATCATATAGCGCAGAAGTTACTTGGTTGAACAATTCAGTGCCATTGTCACATCGCACAACAGATGGCGGGCCCCAGCGGGCACATACGTTAACAAAGGCAGACGCAACACTTTTAGCATCATGACGCCGTAAGGGCACAACTTCTACCCACTTCGTGTTGGTATCGTAACTAATAAGTACACAGTGGTAGTCATTAGCAGCTCCTAGCTCCAAAGTGTCAATTTGGACAATGTTCCAAGGACCCTCAGTAATACTAGCACGTGCAGGAGGTACGGACTCACCTCGTCGAGGATTGGCTGCACAGCATTCACGACACGACGTAACAAACTTCTGGCACTTAGAAGCAAGATCAGCGACGAAACAACGCTCACGAAGAAAACGGTACATAGTTTCCCAGCATCCATGACCGGTCAGTGTATGCGAGTGAGTGAGGACACTACTCTCAAGAGACTTGGCAATAACAGGCACATTCACAATCTGACCGAGGGGTAGCTTGATGCTGCGTTTCAGTACGCCATCTTTCACGACGAGTTGGCTCCTGATCTTCTTGAAGGCGGCAGGACACATAAGCTGACCGTCAGCTACACACAGGATGGCTTCTGCAATAGTGCTGTCAGCTGATTGGTGGTGAGCAATATCTGCTAAACTGATAACACTGTCTCGGAGGGGAACAGCAGCAGACACAACATCACTGGTTTTAGCAAGGGACTTGAAAACGGTCAGAAATGTCGCTGGAACACGCGACAAAAACATCAGCCTTATTCTGCTTCGATGGAACCCACTGGACAGACAGTGACATAGTTGGCAGGAAATCAAGAACGATCTCTAAGCGACGTTGAACAAGCGCTGCATACAAGCCGCCCGTCTTGACTCGATGTGTATTTCCTATCACAGCTGTCAGCCACCCAGACACTGATTTGGAATCTGTAACAATGTTCACTTTCTGTGCTTTCCACTGTTGGGCAAGATTCAGACCCTTCACAACGGCTTCTAATTCAGCTACATTGATGTGCTTTTTCTCACCTGGTTGTCGCAGCCAACATGCATCTTCAACAGCAGTGCCATTTACCTCGAGAACGACACCAAGAGCTACATCAGAAGCATCACAATACAGAGTCCATTCCGAGTCAGGCGATGTTGGAACATTCCAGCGACCAGTGGTGGGGTCTTGGGCAGCAAGGCGATCTGTAAGCTCAGCACAACACAACACAACAGCAGAAGGCACGTCAGAGTCCCACCCAGCACCATTAGAGGAGGCCAAACGCTTCAAGAACGAACATGCCGGACGAAGCCAAGATAGGACTGGGTAGTGGTTTGTGAGACGACCACACCAAGAAAATATCTCTCGCCTAGTCAGCTTCTCAGGACACTGCAGGCTAGACTGGTTGCGTCGCTTCTAGTAGAGTTGGCCGTCGTCACCTCGGAACAACTGCAGACCAAGCACTCGAGCAGACTCCATGTTCTCCGCTTCTTTGGTAGGCAGACCATAACTGAGCAGGACATCGGAGACGGCATCGGTGTCAGATGACGGAACACGAAGGTCATCAACGTAGTTGTCGACTTCTGGGTAGTCACGGGTCACCCACTTCACTACGATATCCATGAACTTTGGCGCGACAGCTAAACCAAAGCCCATCCGGGTCATCACGTACTTCTTCTCCTTCCAGAGGACTACTTGATATCGCAACAGCTCCGGTGCTACTTTCACTTGCAAGTACCCTTTGCGGATGTCTAGCAGCGAGTACTCAGCATCATCGTCGCTTGCTCTCCACTTCCGCAATGTGTCCTGACACACTGGTGCATCATTTCCAGGATGCG